GGGGGCAGCCCCATGGCCACCCCATGGCGTCGGGCTGCCGAGGGGCGAGGGCAGCTCTTCCCCTCTCACAAACCATCCTAATTTGTTTATTCCCCCGCAGTAATTACACTAAACGCTCGCTCCTCACAGTGCGGCAATTATTTATAAAAAGCAGCTTTCTGCTGCTTATACATATTTAGTGGCCTGGCTATGCGGGTGCAGCAGGAGCGGGCTGGCGTGGGGCACCGCGCGGGGGACAGGACCGGGAGACATCACACCCTCCTCCAGCCAGGGATGAGGACACATTCGGGTGGAGGAACTTCCTGCAAGAAGATCCTCAGGCTCTGACGGAGGAGACACCAGCCCCAGTGCACAGGGAGCCAACTCGTACCCAAGCTGTCTCTTCCCGACGTGGGTAAACAACACCTCAAGCAATAGGTTCCAATCACAACTGGGGCTTTAAAGCATTCTCCTCACACTGGCAGTACTTTCTTTAGACCGGACTCTTAAACATGCTTCCCCCCTGCTCCCCGTCACGTCAAGCCATGTCTAATTAAGAGAGCAAAACCTGGGCTACATGCAGGAGCATAAGCACATAGTTTCCAGAGGACGGTTGTACTTCAGAGGAACAGACAGAGACGACAGGGTCAGTGGTGACCCAACCCTTGGAAGGGATGCTCTCAGCTTGCTCCGTAACACCGCATCTGCTAGCTGCCTCCTCCGGGTCACCTTCCTTCCAGGGTTTTCTCTCTTGCCTCCACCCCAGCTCCATGTCCATCCAACACCAACAGCGTCCCACACCACAAACGTCGAGGAGCGCCGTGACAGAGCTTCACTCGACTCACCAGAACCAACACCAGCAGTTCCCACTGCTGCCGTATATTAATAGCAACTTCCTCTTCACTGCTTTTCTGGTTTTAGAAATACATATCTCTTAAATCCAAAATCATGCGGTAAAGGGGGACGCAAGAGTTGTAGATCCTCGGCTGGTTGCGTGCTGCTTTCTTGTGACACCCACATCCCACAACTACACAAATTTGGCAACTGTGCCAAAGGGAACATCGGGCAGGAGGAGAGTTCAGCAAGCCCCAGGAGTTGAGTTAGCCCCATCCAAAAAATTACTAAGTAGTGAAATCCCCCAGAACCAAGTGATCTACCAGGGGAAGTCACTCTGAAATGTCACTGTTACAATAATTGAATAGAGATTTCTGGTGGCTCTTGATCTCCTGGTTGAAGACATCTGACTGAGAAAGCAAACCAGCCCAGGCCTTTCCCGGGCTTTAGTGGAAAGCCAAAAGCAATTTCTAAGCACTGTCTGAACAAGCCAGAAGGTTACGGACCCATGCGAGCCCCCAGGCTGGTGCCTCCCTGTGACCCCCCAGTGCCACTGCTCTGCCACCCCCAGTTCCCCGACTCCATCTCCTGGAGGGCTCTGCCAACGCTGCTTCCCCTTCTCACCCCCTCCCTGCACTTGTGACACCATTTTCAAAGAAACCTGGCGCTGAGACCTCTACGCCCACACATCTCCTGCGGGAACTGGTGACAGATCCCCAGGCAGATGGCTGCTGGCCGGGGTGAGCACCCACTTCTGCAGGGATGCTTTTCCAAAGCCCTTCGTGAGGCTTGGGGCTGTCGGTGGCTGTGGAGCTCCCCGAGCACCTCACAGTCCCTCTCGCTCCATTTCTGCTCTCCAGCACCAACGACGCGAAAGTCTCAGCTCAGGAACATGGCAGATAACACCAGCAATCCCCGACCTCGGCATGGTCAGACTCCAACCCTTCAGAGGACTGCACCATTGCTTTGAGATAAGACAACACCTTATCAAACATGCAAATAAATCCACATAAGCGTCTTCATACAAGACAAGTGAGTTTTGGGGCAGCACCATGCAGTGAACCAGTGTCCCCAGGCCATACAGCCGGCGAGCCGAGGTCTCCACAGCCAGCTGAAGTCCACCTTGCTGCGAGACACTTCAACAGCTGGAACATGTTCTGCTTGCTGGACATCGCTGGGGAGCTCAGTAATTTTATTTAAGCCATTCTATTTGGGCAGGGCCCAAAAAATTGCACCGAAATGGCAATATATCATAATCTGGACCTTTTTTGGGCACTGACCAAAAATGATGATTTTTTTCTAACCCTCCAGAGTTTCAAGCAAACAGCAGTGAAGCCTAATGAAAACTCTCTGGCATACCTAAGTTCCACACAAATTACTTTATTCCATTATGTCAAGCCAAAAGGAATAAAGACTAACAAGGAGCAAGAGGAATATTAAACCAAATACACTGTTGTAAGCACAGAGGAAACTAAGTGTATCCTTCAGCATCACTGCTCCAGAACAACTGACGACAGCTCTAGAAGGCTTTCACTGCCCAATGTTGTAGAGATTTCTTGTCACTTGTAAACAGACTATAATCAATTTCAAAAAAAAAAAAACTGATACAACTTCATTTAAAAAATAAAATAAAATAAACAAAGCTAAACCAAACTCAGGAGAAGGACATTGGGGTGGTATTTTCCCATCTCGCCCATCTGAAAGGAAAGGCACAGCCAGAAATCAGAGAAGCATCCGAAGCAGAACTAAAACATTTGGGGAACACAGCTAAATTCAGAAATTAACTTCCCCGCTCAGCCCCTTCTGCCACCACAAGCCCCAGGAAAACCCAGCGCAGAGAACAATGAACTCTGCAGCTTGAACCCAACGTTGCTACACGCAACAACAGCCCACGGAGGGAAAAACAAAGGCTGGACCCAGAAAAATAATAAACAAGAGGAACCAACATAAGACATAGGACAATTTATAAAACCCAGGATTGGAGGTGGGATGGCAGTGGATTTTTATTTTTTTTTTTAATAAGTAATCAATATTTCCTCAATCCAGAATATAAACATAGCCTTCCAGTTTGAAAAGCCCTAACTGGCATCAACCCAAGTAAAATCACACGAGGCAGAGCGGCAGCAGGCTCAAAGCAGCCAGGAGACAAGAGCAAGAACTCCAGAGTCCCAAAACTTACTCCGATGCTCCCACTCCACCGTTGGCCTTAACCCACAGTTATCGCTAGATATAGCACAGTATATTGCTGACCAAGACAAATACCTGCCAGAATGTGGCCAATGCACAGCAATACCCCGTTAACGCAACCTCCAGCACACAAACGATGGCCTGACCCTTAATTAGCTGCCTGGCTCCAGCCCCGCTGGGTGGGAGCCGCTGTTTTGTTGGGGATGGAAACTCAACAGATTTTTCTGATCTCCCTCCCCTGTTTGAGGTGATAGAGACTAATTAGAGGGGAGAGGAGGACCTCTCCAGGTAGGCAAACCCTTTTTTAGCCCGCACTAGAAAAAGAACTCATGTCCTCGGGTACAATCGGAGGGATTTTAGTGCAATCCGCACAAGCAAAAAGCCTTTTCTGCTGGCTGCTCAGCTGCCGCTGGTTTCCTCGACGCCCCAGCCAGGAGAACCTCCTGTTCAGCGCTGAAGTTCTGTTGCTATTTACTTTGAGGAAAGATTAGGAGGTTAATAAACAGTCCCTGGTCATGCGTGTTTAAAAATAACAATAAAAGACGTTTAAAACTGAAGCCAAACAGCCTCCCACCGACACTCCTCTCTAAGTAGGAAAATTTTTCAGTGAAGGCACTAAACCAGCCAAGGTCTTTTTATTCAGCTGGTGGGTCTCAGCAGCCCCCTCTGCCCGCTCTCCGCAGCCCACGGCTGTGCTGCCACCCAGGTGGCAGGACCGGACCCAAAACACCCTCACATTAAACCTCCTTTGTTTCAAAAACTCCTTTTCCCTGCAGAAAGTGGCATCGAGCTAAACACAACTACTGGGGAATTTATTTTATTATTTTATTTTATTTTATTTTATTTTATTTTATTTTATTTTATTTTATTTTATTTTATTTTATTTTATTTTATTTTATTTTATTTTATTTTATTTTATTTTA